AATCACAGCTAATCATCTGCTGTCAGTATCCCCAAATAATAGTTCTAGAGAAGGAAATGAAGAATCCAGGTAAAAGTGGAAACAGCCTCTCCCTGCCACAGCTCCCCTCTAGAATTTGCACATCTGAGACCTCGCTAGCATTGGCTTTAGGCTTTAAGACCATTTGTTCTTCAAACCTTCTCCCCCATGAGCCATAACTTTATTTCCTTCTAAAACACGACAGACTGAACACTGGAAAAGGCAGGATGCTGAGCACATGCTGGTACCCCACATGGAATTACTGTATCCTAGGAATAAGGCAGCCCTGATTTTGGTGTCAAGAAGGATTTTCTCCCCCACCAAAGTCTTGTTGTGCTGTCTTGTTTTCCTGGGTGGAAAGCTGCATGGGGGCAGCAGGGTTTGTTCATAGCTATAAAGCTATTTGTGATGACTCAGTGTAATATCTACTTTGGAACACTAAATATTCCCCAGTAAACACTTGACAAACCATTCACATGTAGAAATACATTTAAAAATCAAAGAAAAGGGAGCAAAATGAAAATGTTTCACATTCCAATTGAAATTATGAAAAGGTGACACGAGATGTTTCTGCCTCTACCCCGCAGACACCACATTTTATCATCCTTGGGGGCAACAAATTGGGCATTTGTACAGTTGTTTTCTTCTCTAGTGAAGCCTTTCTGGAATACTCTCAGACACAGACACTTGCCTTGCTCAGGCAGTAAAATTTTATTCATATTCTGTAAACAACTTAACAGCAAATTACCAGTGAATTTCCTTTTCACCAAATCACCTTAGCAACCCCTGTGAAACAGCTCCAACTTTCAGAGGGAACTCGGAGTCTCACGGAGATCTGCAAAGCCTCCAAAGGAAAAACACCTCTGGTAAAAACAGCAACAAAAGCTTTATGTTTTGCTACATGGAACCTTGTAATCCTTAGAAGACATAGACTGAGGTTTTGAGAAGGAAGTGGGTCAGTGCAAAGGTGCAAACATTCCCTTTCAGAGCAAAACCTTCTGCCCAGGACATGGTGCTGCCATTGGCTCCTGCCCAGCACGGCTTTAGACAGAGCTAGGACAGCGATGGCAACACTGAGCAAACATCACCAGCAGGAACTTCCCTGTCTTAGCTCCTGGTGTGACTCTGGATGCACATCTGGCAGAGAAGCAGCATTTTTTGCCTGAGGGAGACTGAATCTGAACTGGAGTCAAATGTTTTTTAGAACTTCCCATGGATTGGGAATGCTAAGAAAACTCAGCAGGAAGAATGTACATGTGCATGTGTGCTTCCTGGCTTCTCAGTGAGATATATGCTTTTCCCAATTTCCTGTAAGTGAGAGATCCCAGATTCCCTTTTCTCCTTTTTTTTTTCCCCCTCACTACCAGCTTCAGGAATTCTTGAACACTTTGCTAGACCTTAAGCCTACCTGCAGCTGATGGTTGCTGTTCAACAGCCACTGACTCCAGCCAGTGTGTGGCTGGGGTTAACTGGTATCCCTATCAGGCAGTTGAGATGCCAAAAATGTTATTTTACTGGGTTTTAAAGAACCTAAGTCCTGTGGCACTGTAAGGCACTTCCTTTCCTGACACCTTCAAGATCAACCCTGATTATTTTTAGCTGCAATTATCCTCTGTTCCATGGTATCCAGGAATCTCACAGATGAAACCCAAGAGGGGCTGCTCCATCTGAGACAGAACCCATCCCTTCACACACCTCCCTTCCATCTCAGACAACAAGGCTGCCTTGCATTTTTACCAGCTTATATAGAAACACTATTTCCAGCAGAATATTGCAGCCTGGAATACTGACACAGCTGGCCAGTGGTCATGATTTGGACATGAGCCCTGGTGTGCCTTGCCTGGCCCAAGCGTGAGGGTCCATGGTGGGGAACACTGGCTTAGTCCCAGATCTCCAGCACACACCAGGCTGGCTGCTGGGCTGGGAGACCAGCCAAACCCCTGACACCTCACCTCTCATCACGGCTGTCCTTCTGCCACAGCAGGACTTCTACCAACAGCACTCCTAACTCACACCAAAATAGATCATGCTTTTAACTCTGGCAATCCTTTGGCAGCAAGGTAACTGTACTGCCAGAACACAACTCCAGGGCTGCCTTTTTGATCACCATTTTCTCAGCTTCTCTGGATAAAGAGTATGAAATCTGCAAGCCATGTCAAAAACGCTAAGGCCAACTTTGTAATAACACAATTCACTTCCAATGCTCTGAGAACCTTGAATATTTTTGAGCTATGTGTAACAGGAGATGAGGTAGTGTTTGATTTACCTCTCAAAAGAAATTCAAGAAGGTGCATTTATAGATAGCTAAAAAGAGCTGCAATAGTTCCACGACACCGTGCTCTAGCTGCTCACATCCATTAGAGGTTTCAAACAACAGGCTTTGTGAAGCTGAGGCACGCAGCCTAACAGATCTGCTTCAATCACAGATCTAACTCAGAGCCTCCTTCTGCCCAGCTCTGAGCAGCACTGTTGTGATAAGGCACGAAATGATGACACAGACACTGCTGCTCTCGAGGGGAACAAAAAAGAAGAAGAAGAACCTTTATTTTTTGACTCCAACATTTATAGTTTTCCAAAGGTGACAGTGGGTTGGAGGGTGACAGTGCCACCTCTCCAATGCCACTGGACAGACCAAGGGTCTATCAATTCTCTCCACCTCCATGAAAGAATGCAAAACATAGGTTATTTACAGAACTGTGTGTGAGAAAGTTTGTTGAAAGAATGTAAACATCAGAAGGCTTAACAAAATCTTACAAAATCAGGGCGACACAGCACTTTGAAGTGACAAGGATGAAAGGGTGCTCAGCGGCTGACAGCCTGGGGGCTCTGCTACAAATGAGCCAAAGATCTGACTCCTCATTGACCCGGGCTGGCTCCTGCTGCAGGGATTCCTGGCTTTAAGGAAAGGTTCCCTGCCTACTCCTGTCTCGTGCTCAGGTGTGCAATGCTGCTAAAACAAATTCTGCACCTGGATAACAATAGATCAGACCAAGGATGGGTAAAACAGGCTTAAGAATGGAATGAACTAAAACAAACTTTAAGAACATGGTAAATTTATAGACCAAAAAAACTGTCCATAATTGCATTCCCAAGGGCACAAGACATCCAGCAGCATTCAGTACCAGCACCAGTTTCTACCAGCACAGGCAGGAGAATCAGGTTAACAATTCCCACAGCCATTTATAAAGCTGCCAGCCTAAACAATGGCTTTTTTAGTATCTCGATTTACCATCAATCTGAAATAACAGATCAGCTTATCTCCCACAGTTCGGAAGCCTCAAAAAGAGGACAAAATTGAAGTCACTCAGGTTCTCCAATGCTCTGTAGGCATTAGTGGGGTTTGCAAGTCTTTGGGTAGCCATGCACCTTGACTTCAGCACATATTTTTGTGCTGAACCACAATCACAAAACTGAAAATAATAATCAGCATGGCCAGTTCAGACACGCATGACCCCACATCCCTCTGCACAGATCCAGCACCCCCGGCTCATTCCAGCTGCTGAGCTGGGGATTGTTTGGTTTCTGAATGGAGCCAGACCTCTCAGTGAATAAAAACTCATTTCTTGTGAGTCAAAACTACCAAAGGACTTTGTTTTCCTCCCCCATCTTCTTTCCCCATGATTCTGGGATGCAGAAACACATCGTAACTGCCCTGAAAGCAGCAGAGGGAATACAGCAAGGAGGAAGTTGGTCTCTACATAAATCAACTCCTTTGCTTTTTGATCATGACCCAATGAACGAGTGTTGTCACTGTTATCAATGTGCAATTAAAACCTTCCCAGAAACATATTCAGATTACACGCAGGCATTCATACTTCAGGGATAAAATCTTTGTCATGTACTTTAGAACCCCTGCATGAACATTCAGCAATTGTATTCCTTTCTAACCAGTGAGGTTTTGAGAGGGGCATCATTTTCTTCTAGTAAGTAAATGGTACTAAATAATGTTATAAATACAACAGCTCATAATCTAGAGCACCTTTTACATTTTGTTGTGCAAGATCTACAGCAAACATGTAAAATGAAGCGCTGATGACAGCTGACAAATGCACAGGTGTTACATTTGCAGGGTGGTTTGTACTGTTGTGGGGTTTTGTTTTTCCAAGCAATCATTTAGTAGTTTTTCCTCTAAATTTGGATAGACTTCTGGAGCATTTACAGCACAGGCACTACAACACTGTGCTAAGGCAGGATTTAACTTAAAAAAAAAGAAAAAAGAGAAAATAAAAGACTTGTCAGAAGAGGAATTTCTCTCCATTCTTCTTCAACTACACGTCTCATTTTTTCTCCACATTTCAGTGCCTAGCACTAGAAAAGCATGGGAAGAGCACGCAGCGTAAATGATGACCAAACAATTCAGTTGTCCTTGTGACTGGCAAGTTCACCAAATAGGGATACCAGTAAATCTTTTGCTCAGTAATTCAGGCTACAGAAGGGAACACACAGATATTGTGGTGGGTTGAGAGTGCAGTTAGCTGAGGAACTCATTAGAAGTGCAGACTGTGTACATTTTCTGTGCCTATGGTTATGTTTGAATAAATACATTAAAAAATTCATAAAGTATTGCACTCTGAAGTAGAAGCAATAAACATATTGTATGATATTGGAAATACAGTATGACTGCTGAGAAGATTTTAATTAGTCAGCTTTTAAGCACTGCAAGGTATCTTGTGTAATTACAACCGTGTTACTTTTTGGCGTATCAGGCTGCAGGGGACACATAGAATTTTATTTACCTGAGCGGGAGTATCACCCGTCACAGCTCATTTACCTTTTGAGACAGTTCGGTGCCTGTGGGAGCTGGCTTGCCTTGCTCTGGAGAGGACACAGGCTGAAAACGAAGGCGCTTGTAGAGACCGGGAGGGACAGCCATGCTTATGTAGGGCAAGCGGCACTGGGCTGTGGCAGCGGGTCAAGCTCACGCGAGCTCAGGGTGAGCGCAGCGTTGCGGCTCCCTCACGTGCCGGACACGCTCCCCTCACGCTGCCGCCGCCATCTTTGCTCCCCTCAGAGTCCGCACTCCCGCCGCGCGCCGAGCCTTCCACAAGGCCGCAGGGAGCACCAATCGCTGCACAGGGCGGGAACGCCGGGCCAATCGCTGCACAGGGCGGGAACGCCAGGCCAATCACTGCACAGGGCGGGAACGCCGGGCCAATCGCTGCACAGGGCGGGAACGCAAGGCCAATCACTGCACAGGGCGGGAACGCAGGGCCAATCGCTGCACAGGGCGGGAACGCCAGGCCAATCGCTGCAGAGGGCGGGAACGCCGGGCCAATCGCCACGCAGTGCTGATGGGTGCGTGCCCGCCCCCCTTGGCGGCGCGCTGAGGGACGGGCACGCTGAGGGCTCGGCGTGGTGGGCTCCAGAGCGCTCATTTTGTGTGAGCTGTTTCTGCCCAGGGAAAATGTCGCAGACAGCAGCAAGTGCTGCCAAGGGCTGGTCCGCTGTTCACGGGTGCCTGAGCTGTGTGGCCCGGCCAGTGCCCCACAGGCGCCTCTGGCAGCAGCGTCACCAACACCCATCTGAATAATGGGCATTAATGCGCCTCCGCTCCCCAGAGCTCTCTGGATACTGTAATGTGAAATTCACTGAGATAATTGCATTTACGTACATTGTCAGCTGAAAATCTATGTGCATTTATGTCTGGTTGTTAAAACATTCCCCCTTGAGGAAATGACTGGCAAATGACAAAAGATACAGTATTGTTTACATTGTTTACTCTGATAAACTTATACTTTTAAATAACTAGCTCACATTAATTACACAGCAATACCTGTTAATGAGCACAGGCACCTGCCGAGAGAGTCACAAACGGGTCTGGGTTAAGTGAGGGGGAAGGCAGACTTTTATAACTCTTTCTTGTTTCCTTTGTGGGAATCTGCTTATAAATCACCTTGTCCGTAGCAATGTGGATGGATGGAAAACAAGGGTGGACTCAGGCCTAGGCTGAAATCCAACCTTCCTTTCATGCAGAGGAAGGTTACAGAGGAATAAACTGCAGCCTTTTGTGGTAGTGGTGTACTAATGTATTCTACTAATAAATAGAAAATTAGATTCTGCACAATCTGGAAGTGATAACTGCTTTTCACACAACATGCAATTTCCATTTTTTATTAGTCAGATCTTCTCACAGTTTTCCTCGTTAGTTCACCACAGGATCATTGATTTTATTGCTGTAAGCTTGCATTAATTGTACTAAAGAAACCATTTTGGGTATGAGGGACCCTCACCCTTCCTCCAGTCTGTTTCCTTAACCTCCTTGCCACAACCATGTTCCAGAATTTGCTTTCTGTAGTGCCTGTGCTGGGACATCACAATGGGCTTTTCAAAGAAGAAAGCATTTAATACTTTTCAAAGCCCACAGCAAATGTATGATGCATTAAATTTGATGATTGTGTTTGTGCTCTCGTTTTAATCTATTACTTGATTTGAAACTCTGATGAAAAGTACTCAGTACAAAATATAAGTGGTGGGTACCTTTCTCCCCACCTGCCTCAGGAACTTGAAGCAACGTTCCGTGTTTTGCCTCTGCTTACAGCTGGCTTCTGGAAAGATCATTCTCTGCACTTTCCATTGCCAGTGACATTCCTGTCAGTATCCAGATGTTTCACACGTTAACACAGAACCCTGCAGGGGTGGAGAGCAGGAGAACTGTGCAGAACCATCCCAAGTAATCCGGTGATAACTGCTTTTCACACAACATGCAATTTCCATTTTTTATTAGTCAGATCTTCTCACAGTTTTCCTCGTTAGTTCACCACAGGATCATTGATTTTATTGCTGTAAGCTTGCATTAATTGTACTAAAGAAACCATTTTGGGTATGAGGGACCCTCACCCTTCCTCCAGCCTGTTTCCTTAACCTCCTTGCCACAACCATGTTCCAGAATTTGCTTTCTGTAGTGCCTGTGCTGGGACATCACAATGGGCTTTTCAAAGAAGAAAGCATTTAATACTTTTCAAAGCCCACAGCAAATGTATGATGCATTAAATTTGATGATTGTGTTTGTGCTCTCGTTTTAATCTATTACTTGATTTGAAACTCTGATGAAAAGTACTCAGTACAAAATATAAGTGGTGGGTACCTTTCTCCCCACCTGCCTCAGGAACTTGAAGCAACGTTCCGTGTTTTGCCTCTGCTTACAGCTGCCTTCTGGAAAGAACATTCTCTGCACTTTCCATTGCCAGTGACATTCCTGTCAGTATCCAGATGTTTCACACGTTAACACAGAACCCTGCAGGGGTGGAGAGCAGGAGAGCTGTGCAGAACCATCCCGAGAAATCCACCTTCCTCCACCTGGTCTCATTCAGCACACCCTTGAGCAGGTACCTTGCACAAAGGGGAAACCCTTCAGCTTCTGTTCTCTGTGCTTTTAAGTGTTTGGGGGAAAAATAATTGTCAAATTAAACTGGGAAATATTGATAATACTTTCTCAGCTTAACAGGAAGTACAATTAATGAAATCTATTTTGGAATGTGTTTCTGTGAGGCTTCTGGGGTGTGCTCTGTGCAGTTGCAGGCTGCCCCACTCTGTTCTGTGCCTCCTTCATTTCTTTACTTCCTTGAATTGACATCTCTTTGTTTTGCTTCTTGCTCAGATCCCCAAAGGATCCTGGTTTATATCTTAATCATCTTTTCTGCTTCCTTGTTGAATGACTTGTTCTCCATTAGGCTGGGCCCCCAAATCCCAGTGCTTCTCCCCCGGTCCCCTCAGTCCCCTGCTTTGTCCCTGCTCCTCTCCTGCTCCTGGCTCACACCCGCTGTCCTTTCCCTGACCTGAGTTTGTAACCTCTCAGTCAGACATGACTCCACTTTCTCCACGTCCTTTTCACCACCAGGCATTAGTTAATTCCCACCCTTACTCTTTAACATAATCTCTCAAAAATTTTTCCTCTTAGACTCGTTGCCAAAATGATTCGCGCTGTGTTAATTTTGTGGCTCATTCCCTGCACCTCCCTTCCAATGGGAATTTGGCCATACCATCTCTCCTCTTTCAGTGCACCCAGATGCAGCTGCAAATTTATTTTGGTTTTTTGCCCTTCTCTGTTGTGGCTTCTCAACTTCCTTCAAAGAATCAGCAAGATTCTGTTTGCTGGTTAGGCCTTACATTCTATTTCCTGTCTAACAAAGTACTGCTAAATAAAGTGAAAAAAAGGAGATTGAGCAACATGTCCATGGATTCACACTCTGGAATCCCTGTCCTTACCAGTGGGGCTGCTCCTAGGCAGGACAGCCATTCATCATAGCAGTGTTCCAGCACAGGTGTGAGAGGGAAAGAGCATGGGGCAGAAAAACTCCACAGTAAACCCTCTTAGTTTCATCAAGCAAACAGGAGAAAAACCTTATTTTTCTCTCAAATATGTTACTGTTTTCATCCTTTTTATTAATTCCAATTCATTTTCTGAAAAAAAAATAAAAAAATCAACACGTACAATTGAAAACTGTTGAAATTGAGTTTTAGTCCTTAGAAATACTTCTCAGCCAAACACTTTAGCTAATTCAACTTAATCCAAACCCAAATTTTTGGTTCCACAAACTGTTCACGTAATTCTATCCAGTCAGATTCTCTGTGGATGTTTCACACGGTTGTTGCTGTGAATAGACTCACGCTGGAAGGCGTGGGAGTCAGGCACAGGTGGGAGTGCAGTGCGTTCTCATCTCGAGGTATTCACATTTCGTTAGGAACGGGAAAGGGAGGTGCAGTGTTTGGGTCTCTGTGCCAGGGAGCTGTTTCTGGCAGCCAGACTGATGCGCTCACGGCTGTGTGAGCAAGGGAAGCGGCTCCAGCGGATCCTGCCGAGGCGCTTCCCAAGGAGCTGCCAGTGCTGGGCTGACGGGGGCTCCTCTCCCCTCCCCTCCCTGCAGTGCAGCGCACGCTGCTCTCCTGCTGCCCTCCCTTCCTCCCGGCTCCTCTCCCCTCCCTCCCTCCCGGCTCCTCTCCCCTCCCTCTCTCCCGGCTCCTCTCCCCTCCCTGCAGTGCAGCGCACGCTGCTCCCCTGCTGCCCTCCCGAGCTCTCGCCTGGCTGCAGGAGCCGTTCAGTGAGCACCCAGCGCCGGCCGAGGGCAGGGGATGCTGCACCCACTGATCCCGCACTCACCACCCAGCTCTGCCACCCGTGATCAACCCCACGGAACTGTGAACAAAGAGTGGAAAGGGAAGAATCGGCTGGAGCAATTGCTTGAGAATTAGTGGGAGGTCAAAACAGGCGCAGGATGTGCACAGCTCAAATCTGGGATGGTCGCCGAGCTCTTGTAGAAGAATGAATCTGTCTGGAATAGGCTTCTGTACACTGACATCATTGCTAGGAATTTAATTCTTTATGTCAAATATATTTAGCCTTCCAAAGGCTACCCTGGGGACCCTGCCCCAGTCCAAATGTTGTCTTCAGTCCATTCAGAGACGTTTAGAGTAGCTCGACCGTTTGTCCAAGTTCAGTACAACACCTGATAACCCTGTGTGCAACCCACAGGCCTTTCTTTATTCTGTCCTTGACTCACACACCATTTCAGTCTACACCCCATTCTTCCCAGTAAGCCCTGTTTTCTCTGCCCTGCCCGTAGGTGTGAACAGTAGTTGGTGCTTTCCAGGAGTTTCCGTGCAGCCCAGCAGTGCCTGCAGCCGAGGTGTTCTCTGTCCCCTCTTTCACTTTGTACAGCCCTGACACATCCCTGCAGGCCACAGGACACTCCTGTTAAGTTGCCCATTTTAAAGCTCTGTGCAGTTCTCCTGTCATCTCTGGTAACACAAAATGTTTCCAGCAGCATTTGTTTGTTTCCTTGAAATAATTTGATTTGCAATTGCTTCCCAATGCGTTTTCCCTGCTTTGCATATTGCTTTGTCTGTGCCTATTAGGCTCTTCAGTTTCAAGAAATTCCTAAACTATTCTTAGTCCTAAATAAAGTTAGACTCGATTTGAACCATGAGCCAGTATTTCATGGGGAATTACACATAAATCAACAACACCTGTCTTCATAAAAGAAATTTAAGACTTTGTGTTCATACTAATTTCCTTTGTGTCTGAAGAAGAAAGCACAGCCATAAACCAAGGCCTGTTCAGCAAGGATTATTTCCAATAACATTAAAATTATTTACAACAGTATTTACAATAAACCTGATAGAATTTTCCTTTACATGTAAAGGAATGAACCCTCCAGAAACAACCACAATGTATGTAACTCCATCTCTCACATGCCCTTCATCCTCATCAATCCCAGGATTGTTTCTGTTACAGAGTTAAAGAGCCAGAATAAATCAGAATCTTTCTCAGCAGGATTTTAAGTCAACACCGTTTAAATTAAATGATACTACCAACAAAAAAAAATCACCACACTTTTGTACTAGTTATGCTTTGAAATTCTTGTGACAGGAATAGACA